TTCTGTGACTATTCTTAAGGTAGTGGCAATAGCGATGCCTATGTCAAAGCCGTTGACCATGCCATAAATCTCAGAGGCTAGTACGCTCCTTGTGACGCGCTTACATTTTGTAGAGCTGTAGTGGATTATGTTGCCTTGGATTGTGAAGGTGTTGGCGTCAATAGACTCGTTGACGAGCATGAGGACAAAGCCGAGCTGTGAGCTGAGGTCCTTGTTGTTGGCAAAGGAGCCGTCTACGAAGACCATCAACTTAGCCTCCGTGAGATTGACAGTGATGTAACGGAGGCCACGATCGAGGTTCTCTATCTGCCACTTCAGGCGCTTGTTGAGTGCCTTGATGTCCTCATCTGATGGTTGCTGCGCCTGAGCGGCGACGGACAGATCGAATGACGCCTCTGGTTGGCATGTTGATGCGATGTACGCTCCGCGGGCGCGCTGCTCTGTGTACTGTTGCGCGCGGTCGGGTGCCCTAACGTCCACAAGTTTGATCTTTCCTCCTTGTCCTTTCTGCCTAAGGTTCAGAATTGGTTTGCTAGCGTCGATCGTGAGTGTACATCCATTAAAATCCAATTGAATTTCTGGTGTAAGGACAGACTTTGGTTTCGATCTAAACTCTGCCTTCTGGATCTTTTTCTCTTCAAGTAACGAGAACGCGGGTGTCCCAAGCATGAGAGTGTCATCTGTTTGCATGCCAACGATGCCGAAGATGCTGGTGTCGCTGTTTGTGATTAACAGGCATGGGTCGTACGTAGATGTTGCCATGTCCAGTTCCTTGCAATGGTGCCCATGATAGGTTGTCCACCAGTGGACTCCTGCCTCTGCGATTCCATACAGTGGCTTGATCACATGGAGTAGCGTGCCCCTCGGATATCGTGGTACCAGCTCAGTAGGAAGATGTGCGAGTATCGTCCTCTTCAGGGTTGTCTGCGCCTGGGGATACGCCTGCGTGATATCACGGAGCTCTATGTTCATTCCGCGTTGTACCATCTCGGGCGCCAGCGACATGATCAGGCGCTGGCTGCATCGCTGGATGGTTGGAGATTGCGTCAGGATAGCCTCTTTGCCGTGGTCCTGGTAGCCTTGGATAACCAGGCGGGATTTCTCATAGGGCTTGGTTGTCTTTCCCTTGACCTCACGTACCAGGCGTGACTTGAAGATCCGGATCTTGCTGTGTAGCCTCTCGTCGTATTGCTCAAACTTGAAGACTCCACGACCTACGAGGTCGCTGATCTCTTGGTCATCAGATGCTTCAAAGGGTGCGCCTGATGTTGTGATAACTCCATCGTTACGTAGCTTGATAGCTAGCTCAAGATCGTCCTGCTCCTTCTTGGTGATGTACGCGTGCCCCTTCCGCTTGTTCTTTGATCCTGGAGGGCGGCCTCTCTTGCGTGGTTGCACTGCCGGTGGTACTGCTACCGGCTCATGCGGCTCATTCGGCGCGTGTGGCGCATCGGGGTCGCTCCAAAGGTGGTCCGGTCTGTAGTATGGCTTGACGACAGTAGATCTGAATGTTGTTGGACCATTGACCATATCGACAGTAACGTTGTGGCCGTCTATACTGGCGATCTTGTACGGGCCATTCCAGCCATCACTCTCTCTCCATACTAAGACTTCACTCTGGAGTGGGAGTGCTAGCATGTCTGCAGTGGCTGGTCCATTGCGGGCGTTCAATGCGTCTGCAACTTGGCGCTCTGCAGTAAGCTTGCGCAGGGCTTTCGTCGCCTTTTGAATAGCCTCGCTGCGCCTAACCATTGAAGGTGCCGGCGGCGACTCTGTAGTCATTCGTGGGTATGCTCCAAAGACTAGTAGAGTCGGGACTAGACCATCGGGTCCAGCGGTGTCATTGACAGCTTTCACGGCCATTTGAAGGATCGCTTCATCGGACATATCGTCTTGGAGCTCGTCATGGAGTATATCCCATGCTCGGCGAAGTGGTGCGTGGTATCTCTCAGTCTTGCCCACCGACCAGTGAGCCTCTGTAGGCACCTGCTTGCATGTAACTCCCATGATCTTTGCCTCAGCACGGAACTCTGCGCTTGCAAAGTTGGTGCCTGCATCATGTGTGATAATGTCTGGTGGTCCTTGATACGTGTCGATCCATAGCATCCGCAGTGCCTGCCATGTCTCCTTAGCTGAGATAGCGCTGAGGAATTTTGCGCCTTGGAAAGCAGTTGAAGAATCAACCACATGTAATACTGGCTTGCCGCTGAGATACATCACATCCACTAGGATCTCATAGTTGAAGTGGTGATCATCCTTCAGAGTGAATTTGAATCGGCGCGGCGCGGAGCTGTGGAGCTGGCAGTGGTGGCAGAATTTAGTGACCTCCTCTAGGGTTCTCTCTTCAAAGTCGTTATGGCCAGCGTCCTTTAAGAGTTTAACTAGTCGCGTGACAGCTGGGTGTCCAAACCGGCGATGGAGCCGTCTCAGCTCTGTCTCAGTGAGAAACACCGTTGCTCTCTCTCTCTTGTTGAGATGGAACCATGGGTGTCCCCATTTGCGTAGAACAGGGATGCGTATCTTGTCCTGAACAAGCTCATCTGTAGTGTTATTGAAGTAGACTTTTAAGCGGTCCATATCTGCAAGGCACAGCAAGAACGGTGTAGGCGCCTCGAGCACTTCGAAGTTGATCTTCCCAATCTCTGTAGAGACCTGCACTGTTCCAATAGACGCTGTAGCCTCGCCTTTTCCGAATTTGATAGATGCTTTCCCAGCTGTAGATGTGTCTATCTTGACTGTTGGATCTTCTCGTGTGAGTGCAAGATACTGCTCTTTGCCAACTGTAGATACGTTGGCAGCGCCTGTATCCGGGAGGATACCTTGGTACAGAGATCGTGTATAGCGGTCCTCGAGCAGAAACTGCGACGCTGGTGCTGACGGCGCGCCTCGACTGTATATGTCGTCGCCAGAAATGTGATGCAAGAACGCCTGGTCTGCAAGGCATTGCTCCTTGAAGAACTGCTGCTCAAAGTATTGTTGGTCGCCAGTGCCGTCGTCATTGTCGTCATCCTCGCAGTCTTCCTCCTCTTTCCAGCCTCTCTGGTTATACTGGCTGGTGTGCTCAATTCCTTCGTACTCTGCAAGGCACAGTCCGCAACAATCAATTAAGTGGGTCCTAGAAGGTTCAGATTGGATTGATTGATTACCGCTTTAAGCCTAGTAGTTACCTATAGGAGTTTAAGCCCTACCTAGATAGGTAAGTGGGTCTAGGAGAGTGACCGGATTGAATTGATTGTTGCGGAGTCTACTGCAAGGTGTACTGAGAAGTCCTTGGGTGGTGGCGCACCTGTAAAATACAGCATAGAGAAGAATTGCGCACGGGCAGTCTTGCGCTCTTCGTCTGTGTGGTTTGTGGACCAGCATCCTTCCTTCTGGCAGACAAAGCACTTCTTCTTCCAGCGTGGCTTAAATCCACGGCTACTGTCAAAGCTTTGTTCGCCTTTTTGAAATGCGCCTCTAGTTCCGCCTCGGGACCCACCTCGGTTTCTTCTATTGCTGTTGTACCGGCGGTCTAAGTAGTACTGGTTATCTTGGTCTACCTCTGTGAAGTTGACAGAGGTAGTCATAGCGAGTGAGTTTTCAATCGAAGATCGTAGATCTCCAAATAGGACCTCACATTCTAGAGACGGCCTGTAGAGCGCCATTGCGAACTCTTTAACGCCTCGACATGCTGTGATTACTGTGGTCCGGAGCGCATATTCTCCCATATACTGCTGCCCAAGCGCCCTCTGGCATAACTGGAGTTTATCTAGCATAATGTCAAGGACCTCATGGAGTGTCTTGTCAGGATTCTCCCTATGGACTTTAGCAAAGGATGTCGTCGTCCAGTCTGCATAGTAGTGACTGTGGTTGACGTCCGTGTCGAAGTGGTTCTTGAGCTTCGTGTATACAGTCAAGAATGTATCTGTCCGCTGATCAACGAAGTGGAGGTAGTAGTCTTGCGCACGGCCTTCCAGGATCCGTGGAAAGACTGCATGGAATTGGTCTGGCTGGATGTCTGCGTGATAGCAGATGCTGTAGAAGATCTTCAATTTGTCGTCTAGGAGGTCGTACGGCTTCCCTGTGTATTTCTTCTCACGATCCCACATCTTTGTAAAGACATTGATTGTCTTCGGATCTAGTTTCCCATTATTAAACTCGATTGGGGGAACTGCCTTGTATGGGTCTGTATCCCCTGAAGGTATAATTGGAGGGACGCTCGGTCCCTTTGGGCGTTGTGGGTATGCTGGCGTGTATTCGCGGAATCTGTCAAAGTTGTTGTACGTTAAGCGAGGTTGATGACTTTGCTGTCGCTGGTCCGCCTGGTGTCGCCCGTCTGCCTGTGGTGTCCGTTCAATTGTCTCTACAAGCGGATCTGCTAGTTGTTGGCTGACCTGGGTACGGGTGCGGGTCTCGTCTTGGACATCGGTTTGTTGATCCTCTGCGTCTTGGTCTCTTGCCCTTGCAGAGGTTTGGCTCTGCGCTCGACTCGCTGTCCCTACGTTTGTAGGTTGTACCGATCCCGTAGTTTGTCGTCCTAGTAGCCTCCGCTGTTGCAGCATATACGCCGCTGACCGCTCGTCGAAGGCAGTAGATTGGAACTGATCGTCCGGCCACTTCGGACAATCCTCCTTGTGCAGTAGCTTGGCCACAGCTTCGCTTGGCGGCATGATTAACCACGGCCAGTGTACACGCCCTTAAAGCGGAGGATCCGCTTTAGTTCCTTAGTATACGTTGCATGCGCGCGCATAAACATAGCTTCAGTCCAGCCTTCAAAGTCCTGACAGAACTCACCAAAGAGCTCTGCGTCTGCTGTTGGCCGGTCTGTGTAGTCTGCGATCGCACGCGCAATGTACGTTGTTGCTGCAGTTCCGTCTACCTCGTCGTCTGGGGCTTCGATCTCATCGTCCCAGATCTTTGGATCAATGTGACGCCACTCTCTTGCCTTTAGGTTTGTGGTCCCTAGCAACTCCTCTCGTGTGAGTGTACAGCCTCCATTACTGCTTGCTGTTTCGCTCGCCATTTGTTGTTGACGCGTGCCGTGCTGGCTGCGTTCGCCAGGGATACGTCGGTTGTCGTAGATTGTTGACGTGTGCCTTGCTGGCTGCGTTCGCCAGGGACTCGTCGGTAGTCGTGGGTTGTACACGGGTCAATGGCGCGACCAAGTGGGGGTCGGTGCGTGTATGGACTGCGTCTGGGAACGCTCTGATACGGCTGGAACGGTCGGTCTCAAGCCGGATGAGACGCCTGATACAGCTAACAGTGAACTTAGCACAGATAACTCCGCCGCTGATATAGGCGATCTAGGGAACGCGCGGGGTTATAGGATCTGTCTCTTCTAACCTAACTGTCTGTGACTGCCATGCAATCACTGATCAGTGTTGGTAGGCCTTGTACGATCGTACGGGTGAATAACAACAACGAGGTTCTTCTGGTGACTGGTATTGGTATTTATCTTCTACGAACATAGCTGCTACGAAGGTACACCTAAGCTCTGCGCAAGGTGGGCCGAAGTCGGGCCGAAGTGTCAAGCAGCCGACGTCTCTACCGATACTCACGATCCGACAATATGCTTAATGCATTGTCAATAATCTTGCCCTCGCATTAACGTCTAGAAGATACTAGTAATAGTTAACTATAAGGTATATAGCTCTCGATAGGTAGATTACGAAGATATCTAATATAATGGTCGGTGGAAAGGACATAAATAAAGGGCGTAACGATCATTATGGCATAGGGTATAGTGGCCAGCCTGCAAACAATTGTCGACTTGCACATCTGATTTCACAGTTGATTATGCATGCAATAATGAGTTGTGAAGTAGTGGGTGCTGCAAGTGATGATAGTCTTTGTTGAATAGTGGTCACTGCACTGTTGTAGAAGACTATGGGTCCGAATGTAACCTACATTGTAATTATGACCCACGTAAAGCTTAGAAGAGACAGTCTGATGCATAAAATATTTGTGTAAAAGACCATATGAACACCAGTGCTAAAAATTTTAGTTGCTCAAATGACGTTCATCCGAAATTCAACCACTGCCCCCTAGCATTTCCCAACAAATGTCGTTACGACGCGTATAAAAGACTTGGCAACTTCGTCATAGATGGCGAAGCGCGCTTTCTAATAGAGGAAATGATGGCAATGAATCAAACCCCATGCCCAGAAGATTTGTCAACGCGCCGGTTCCGAGCTTCTGTCCGTTTGCTCTTTTACTAGACGTCACAGCTCGTATGCGATAACCATGGTGGTTGTACACGACTACTTGGGTACCAGCATTTGTCCCGAGTATTTCGGGGGATTGCCCGATACACACCCGATACGAACCTTCCGACAACATCCGACATCCAGGCCCCGGGTAAACCAAGCATCGGAACGCGGTGGAAGTACAGGTCCAGCGACTATACTATGGTTGCCTGCCAAGTGATACGATTTGAAAGAAGGGTCCCATCTAGATCCCAGGATAATCCCCGATGGCGATTCAAGAAATCGTGACCCTAGCCTTGCATTCGAAGGAATGGCTGGAGAGCGCCCAGGACCAAGCCGGGGAAGCCGACCATGATTTCGTCTTACAGTGGGACAGCCGAGACACGCGTCTGATAGTCGCGAGCTTTCCACTGTGGAGGCCATCGACCAGACCCTTACCCGTGCCCCGAGTAGACAAGCTCCAGCTGACACACTTGGCATGTGATCCAAGCCATGCAATTCGCAACATTGGTACGTCAACTATCCGCTGTTCTGCCTCGGTTTTGCTTCACTCCCTCCTGACTCGCTAAAATGTACCGTTTGTGTCATGGTGGCCCCCAATTGCGCAAGCGATGGAGCAACGGACGGGACGTGACGAGGAGATGGAATTAAAAGCGCCGACCAATCCTCGCTACGCAGCAACCGCTGGAGGCCTTGCAACTGGTTTCTTGGAACGAGTAAATACTTGTGGGTCATACAAGTGTTTAGTTCCAAGGCGTCTTCGGACCTTTTCACGTCCGTTCGGGGGTTTGATCGCCCGGGACAGCATCCACATGTCAGATTACCTGCTCCTCGCTTGCTGGCGGAGCGTGGGCGCAATGAGTGGTGTGGGTGGGACACTTGTAAAATGACTATGCCAAAGATAAGCTTGTCGGATGAGAGAAATAGAGAGTATTGGCCTCGTGCCGCGTTTGTTGGTTATCGACCTGCCATATCAAGGACAAGCGACAGCCAGAGAGGGCTACAATGCTTTGCGCGTCTTCGCTGTAGTTTCCGTAATTGTCCTGTTAAACATCTCCCCAAACGGCTACGAGTACATGGATGTCGGCTTGCTGACATACGTAGACGGCGGGCTCCGCTACAGCAGCCTGCATTCCAGGACGACAGCACATACCGTTAAATGGTCCCCGATAGTAGAAACGGGCCGCTTTCCAGTGCACTGTCTACGACACCCCCAAATATTCTAGTGGAGACGACCGTCCGTGGCTTTTGATCTTCTTGTGGGGGAGGTAGCGGTAGAGCGTCCTTGGTGACAAATAGCCCACGTGCTTCGTGCACATGCCATTTTCGCAAGCAGCGAATGGGGAAAAGGTACCATGTGGAGATATCGGACCGATTTTCAAATTGCAAGCGAACTGCTCGAAGCCATGTGTTTGGGCCCCCAGTACAAGGCTTGTTTCGAAAAATGGGGTAAGTTGCTAGGTCTATGGTAGGGGCGGTTATGAATGCCGATGATCCAGGTACCGACATGGAGGAAACGGGCGGATACACGCGTTAGTGAGAGATGGGTTGTCTTACATGTATATGCATGGACAAGACCTGCTAGACGCTATCGAGAACGTCATGTAAGCATGGCAAGATGGCGAGATGTCGTGGTCTGGCTTGGAGCACCGGGATGGATAGATCCGACGTGAAGAGGCAGGGTTTTGGAGAACATAACAGCTGACCAATGATACGTGCAGTAGTCCAAAACTACAATCCACTTTATCTTTCCTGGTTATGGGATCTGCCAAGCTACTTCGCTGGCTAGCGGAGGCGACCGTAGCCATCACGGCCTCCTAAATTCTGTACTATACCACAATAGCTCTTCCAATTGTTCAAGGATGGGGGAGCGGCTCCGAATCTTGGAAATGAAACTGGATGTTACATTTGTGCCGTGTTTCGATTCGCATTCGGATCCGGGCACGGTGGATAATTGCAACGTTGGTGACCTTGAAGGCATGTTTGGGCTCGGGATGATCAAAGACCACATTGAACTAAACTCTGACCTGTCGTACTTTGTGATTTTATTAGACAATATTGTTATCTGCCGTCTTTGTGGTGTCTAGAGGTAGGGCGCATGATGCAAGCTACCAACAAGGCCGTCCAGGATCCTCGTTCTGTGAGGGACTAGAAGGCCGCACTAATTTGCGGCAAATCGAGCAGCAAGAAAGAAACGACCCCGTGCATAACATGAACAAGGAACCTGCCGAATATCGTTCCGGTAAAACGGTGAAGCCTTTTGTGTAGTCGACAAGGGTGAAAGGTGGCCACAGTCTCGATTCGTCGTAACGACGCTTCGATGAGGAACTAAGTACTTTTGTATTAAATCTGATCCCCGGCGTGATCTTTACATCGTGGCGGAGGCCATTAATACTTGAATCGCCAACGTCGAGCTGTACCTGAGAGTGGAAAGGTCGTATAATGGAAAAGAAAACGAAAAATTGCGAGTCTTGCGTAACAATCGGGAAGCCAGAGGAGACTTGATATACTGACTCAACGTTTTGTAAACGAAGGCCGACTTTTTGTATCTTACATGCATACCAGGGGCGTGGGTTTCTCAAGGCCCATTACCCCGCTTGGTCCATCTAACGCTGATGTCTTTCCAATACCTCGGCGATCTTCTCCCTAACCCCCTGTTTTCCCTCGTACTTTTCCAACAACCTGGCCACAACCTCTTCACTTTTGTTACTTCCAGCCTCCCTAAGGATCTCCTCTTCTCTTGGCAGTCCAATCCACGCGTGTGGATATTCTTGGTAATCGTCCTGAGTGATCAATGGCAGTGGTGCATTATGGCTGTTAGCGAAGAAAGCATCAACATCCTTCTGCTTGACCTCTTCTATAGTGTTTGGTTTCCAGTTTGGGCGCTCCTTCTTTCGCTCGATGAGTCGTGCTGTCACGCCCTCGACGAAATCGGGGTGTGCCATGAACTGCGAGGCAATTGCGTATTCTTTTTGGAAGGCTTGAGCGATGGACCATTGACGGCCAACACGCATCTGCAAAAGGGTTACTGCAACAGAGATGGGCGAACGGCTATTGATAGTTTGGAAGGTCTTATCCGCCCATTTTTGAATCTCGGGGTTAGTGGCCTCACACTGGACTTGGTTTAGAGATTCCATAATGGTTTTTATGTTTGGCTGATCAACATGAAAGACGCTATCAATCGTGCGGCGTAACTCGCCAGAAATTTGGGGCCGTTCTGCGGGGAGGCCGGTGCTGAATTCTTCAATTGTGGCGTTGATGATTTTGAAGCGCTCATTGAGAGACATGTAGTCTGGGAATTGAAGTTCAGCGAGGCGGGCCTCCAGTTGTTGAAGAGTGGACGAATGAATATAGTGAGTAGCGACGCCGTGGTAGAAAGCATCTACGCCTTTGAGTTGCTCCGATGTGAGTGCCAGGTATGTTCCGAGAGCGCCTTCCATACGTGGGAGAAAAAAGGATGCGCCGACGTCTGGAAAGAAGCCAATCGTGGTCTCGGGCATGGCGAAGAGGGTGTTTTCGGTTGCGATTCGAAAAGGGGCGTGTATTGACAGACCAACACCTCCACCCATGGTGATGCCGTCCATGAAGGCAACGTATGGCTTCTTGTATGTTGCAATCATATGATCCAGCTTGTATTCCAGCCCAAAGTAGTCTGAACTCCTTTGCTGTCCCTTTGGACCTTGTTGATTCCATTTGGCCAGCGCCGCGACATCACCACCTGCGCAGAAAGCGCGGCCATTGCCTTTGATTATTACGACGCCTGCTAGTTCTGATTTGGCCCACTCTTGCAATCGCGGGATGATCTTGCGGGCCATGGAGCCATTGAGCGAGTTAAGTTTCTTGGGCCGGTTGAGCTCGATGCTGCGGACGCCGTAGTTGTTAGTGAAAATGACGTCGTCGGGGTCATCGTCCTCTTGAGCTTTTAATAGGTCAGCGGTCGGTGTGGCGTACTGCATATATGATTAGCCTTGGGAGACAAGTACGTTTCTTATGGAGGGGCTTTACTTTTCTTGACCCGCTCATCCAGGCAGGGTTTGTGATGTTTGCGCGCAATGGCATACTTCTGGCTGCTGGTATCCGTGGGACGCAATTGAGCGATGTCCTTGTAAGTGTACGGAGCGACATGATGTGGTGAATCTGATCAGCACGCGCGACGATGATGCAACTTGCAGAGCTCGGTTGAGGAGGGGACCTCGGGTATTCGCGACTCAGAAAAAAAAAGTCAGCACCGGCACGCCTCAGCTGATGTGAGAGGCAGAATTACAAGGGCGTCAAGGCTCAATGCTTGATGTTCAATTCGACACTCAATGGCTTTAACAAACCTAAAAGCTGGTGGCGCTTTCCCATGCCCCGTCCGCGCCTTCTCTGCGTGGTGGAGCTCGGATCTCCCCCTCATCTGATTGGCCGGCACCCAACGTAATCACGGCGCGCTAAGAAAATGATTTGAGCCTCCACCCTCACGACGACATCGCCATCTCGGCCAATTGCCTGCCTCTGCTGCCTTTGTGTTCTGTGATCGGGTCAATCATGTCGAGCTTTTCAAGAGTACTCCTGCGCACTTCGCGCTCTGCGTTGCAGTACCAGCGTGGCGTCTCGCCAGTGCAAAATGCGCTGGGTGCCCAGGGCACGAGCAGGTGGATGAACGGGGTACGGAACTACGCCGCCTTCACACGAGACAAGCCGCACGTCAACATCGGTATGCTTTCTCGTAACTGCAATGTGTCGATATATGTGCTAATAGAATCCATGTAGGCACCATTGGCCACGTCGACCACGGAAAGGTACAGCGCCACATGACTTGACATCAACTTCCAAGGCCAAAATCACTGACCCCACCTAGACAACTCTCACAGCAGCCATCACCAAGCGACAAGCAGAGAAGGGCTACGCAAAGTATCTCGAGTATGGCTCCATCGACAAGGCCCCCGAAGAGCGCAAGCGCGGTATCACCATCTCGACTGCCCATATCGAATACCAAACTGATAACCGCCACTACGCCCACGTCGACTGCCCCGGTCACGCCGATTATATCAAGAACATGATTACCGGAGCCGCCAACATGGATGGTGCCATCATCGTCGTCGCTGCATCAGACGGTCAAATGCCCCAGACCCGTGAGCACCTGCTGCTTGCCCGTCAGGTCGGTGTCCAGAAGATTGTCGTCTTCGTGAACAAAGTCGACGCTGTTGATGACAAGGAGATGTTGGAACTGGTCGAGATGGAGATGCGCGAATTGCTTAGCAGCTACGGATTCGAGGGTGATGAGACACCCATCATCATGGGCTCTGCTCTGTGCGCCATCGAAGGCCGCCAACCAGAGATTGGTGTGACCAAGGTTGACGAGCTGCTCGAGGCGGTCGATTCATGGATCCCTACACCCCAACGTGAGACGGATAAGCCCTTCCTCATGGCCGTCGAGGATGTCTTCTCCATCGCTGGTCGTGGTACCGTCGTCTCTGGCCGTGTCGAGCGTGGTATCCTCAAGCGTGACTCTGAAGTAGAGCTTGTCGGCAAGGGTACTGCGCCCATCAAGACAAAAGTCACTGACATTGAGACCTTCAAGAAGTCATGTGAGGAGTCGCGTGCAGGTGACAACTCAGGTCTTCTCCTCCGCGGTGTCAAGCGCGAGGATGTTCGCCGTGGTATGGTCGTCTCGGTCCCTGGACAAGTCAAGGCACACAAGAAATTCCTCGTCTCCATGTACGTATTGAGCAAGGAGGAAGGTGGACGCCACACTGGCTTTGGTGAAAACTACAGGCCGCAAATGTTCATCCGAACTGCCGACGAGTCGTGTGCGCTACACTTCCCGGAGGGTACAGAGGATGCGCACGACAAGCTCGTAATGCCCGGTGACAACGTTGAGATGGTTTGCGAACTCCATCAGCCACACGTCATGGAGACTGGCCAGCGGTTCAACATGCGTGAGGGTGGCAGGACAGTCGCCACTGGCCTGGTGACCCGTATTTTGGAGTAGAGCAGAATTCCCGCCAGCAAACACGACCTGGTAACATGACAGCGGCATAACCTGATGTGCGAACTAGGCAAGGCTTTGTACAATATTGTTTTGGACATACCCCCCACTCCCCGCTTCTCGTTTGATCTTCCTCATGTACTTTAGTAGCACGAACAAACCGGATCTAGATGTGAGGCGTTGAGTTCTATGATGAAGCCGGAACGATATAATGGCAATTACCAAGAGATACTGTATCATCCACAAAGGGACTTGTCTTGATACGCATCTGTGATAGGCGAAACGCATCAAAGTTTGTTAGTTGTCATGGTCTCGTGTTGCAACTGGTCGGCGGTATAGGATGTAGACTGATGCTTCGTGGCTGCACCTTGTCCCATTCGGTGGTCCAACAAACGAGATATCTGTTTGACATTCATTCCGGATAGCTTGCGCCGAAAGAATATGGCCAATCATGTAGGGAATGATTACATGATACACAGGCGGCTTACTTTCTCTTGTGCAATCTGCAAAATTTGGGGTTTCCTGCTGAGTCGGTTATTACTCATCATCAGTCGCTGCACATGCCGTGTACAATGTCAACGCCCATTACTAAGGCAGACAGCGCAGTAAGTCTCCTTCTCATCCCCGCTATGGCTTCCACAACTGCAACAACACGAATACAAGGACGATATGTCGCGCTACGCATGCCTGTTGCCGTCCCGGACCTTCTGCGCAGAATCACGTACTTTCTGGAAACCCGACCCATCGCTGCCCCCACTCCCGCCACCTGGGGCCCCGCTTCAGAACGAACCTTGGCGCCGGCTCCAACTCGTATCATGAAAGCCACAATCTGTGTCCGCCGTAGGTCTCAACAAATAGCGACGGGAGGCAGCGACGGAATGTGGTAACGTGGAACGTGCAGCCCCTCAGGGTCCTGAGGCCTTTGCTTCTGCAGCCGTGCAGACGGGTGCGGCCCTGGCGGCTGTGTTATCCATGTTCACCATCCGATAGCCCGTTTGAACGTCCTCCGTCAACTCGGCGTCCACAAATGTATCTATATCGGCCTGTACCCGGCATTACGTTGATTCGACTTGGACAAAGTTACGCAATAATAAGCCATCAGATGGTCTACTCGTTTCGAATGCATCGGTGCAAGAGCGTTGCCGAAACTCGGCCCTCTTAAAAAGTTTAGGATCGCCGAAGGTGCGAGCATCAGCCTACTATGCGCAGTGGGAAGACATCGGTAACGAATCGAAGGCTTCTTTCGTAACCCGACATGTTCTAGCACCCTCGGTCCTGATCCTCCTGCCCGGAGGTTGCCAAGGCATTGCATTAGGTCTCGACCATCAATCTCATCATGCTCCTTTATGGTGTGCGCAAAAGTCATGCCTACACGGTATGCTCAAAAGGCGCGTCAAAAGGCGCCGAGGCAATAGATGCAAATTGAGGGGTTGCCGCCGACAACTTGTACGGGCCGAGTTGCTGCACATGTTGCGCGATACTTTCCAAACCTGCAACAATCGAGCACTTCGTGCTTACGTACGCGTATTTCGGCTGACTCAAACCGAGTGCGGGTCTGGAGCCGTCTTCTATATCATCAGGGTTTCAATGAGATATTATCCGCGTCCATCTACCCCAGCTCCCCGAAGGGATATCGGTCAAGCAGCCGGAGAAAAATCAAGACCCGCTAGAACATGCTCATGGGAATTGATCTGCCCCACAAATTGCTTGACTGGGAAGCAAGGCTAAGAAACGCACGAAGAAAAATATTCTAGAGCAAAGCCAAGTCTGCGCGTTGAGATCAAACAGTATATGCCGGCATACACTCGCATACAACAATGAATTATCGGCATGTTTCCATTTCCCCATACATAGACGAACGAGAATCTCAAGGGACGGGCTGAGGAAATGCTTGGACATATCAGAAGCCGCACTAGGTTGTTCGGCACGAGGATAAGATTCAACACGATGATATACATTTGGCCGGAAAGGGCTCTGCTGCTGAACTTGACTGACGCCCCACAATTATAACAGTACAAGACAGGTGCAGCTACGATAGCTGCAGTCGTGATGTACACCTTGACATACCGACGTGTGGCCGTCGGGTTGGAAGATATTAAGGTTTGGCGCTCGTTGTGAGAGCGACGACGATGGCGTTGTATTGATTTTATGAAGAAACCATCCGTCTCATTCGCCGAAAGGACATGTCCAGCTTCGTCGCTCGAGTCGTCCCCCTAGGATTCCCAAAATGTTGAGGCGCACGGGGACAGCCGATGTTTCAGGACGATGATGTATGAGGATGTTGTTCGACGGCCGCCTTTCGTATGGCTTGCGGTGACCAATGGGTTGGGCACGTCCATGACTCGGACGTCAAGCGTGGAGTGGTGTACTATGGAGGCCCAAAGCGCCAATGGTCAAGGCCAGCATTGCTATTTACCGCCAGGTGGGCCAGTATCCAGACCTTTGATGCTCAGGTCGTGGGTGTTCATGCCGTGTTCATGCCGTCGATTAGGCCGACGCAGGTGGAGCCGAAGGGCAGTTTGGAGCCGCTAGCCTCAATGGTGTTGTGGTTGGCATCATGGTGCAGGAGGTTGCGGTCTAAATAAGGGCGGATTTCGGGGACCGTGACCATGCAACTAGCAGGCCTGATTGCGCAGCATTGTTCAAGGGAGCAAAGCGATCGCACACACTTTCATCTAATCTCTCAGGATGCACTAGACGGGTAGGAACTGACAGTGCTCAGGTGCGTCCGCATACAAAGTACTTGGGTAGTGCTTACGGTGCGAGGGTGGCTGACATAAGCTAACATGTTTTGGGAAAAGCGCTGGGCATGATGGGATCCGCCAGTGCTCCCATGCTGACATCCACTGCCAACCCATGAGTCCCTCGTCAGCGGCTCCCCCCATGCCAGTAGTGGTGAGGCTGGACGAACTGTCGACGATGAGCGACAGGCATGGGTTCACAGCCCTGCACAGCGTGACATGTGCCAGCGCCCCGCTTAGTCCTATCGCCTAGCCTTGTACTGCAGCAGCAGGTTAGCGGTTTGGCCCACCCGAGCGTAGCTATGGCTACAGTACATGTACCCTTTAAGCACTTGGTCTGCAACCTTTGGCTTCGGCTTCGGCACGGTACTCAGGCACCCACAACTCCTACTACACTCAATTCGACATGAGCAACGCCGCACTCATTGCTTGCACTCGCTGTGCCATCTCAAAGGCTCGATGTGACCGTAAGGTTAGTTGGCTTTAGTGCCACCCAGCGCTCTGGACACTGCATGTGGACACCCCTTCTAACATGGGATAAAGGTACCTTGTTCACAGTGCGTCGCCAGAAACTATGTTTGTCAGCCACGATGCACCTCACGCCGTCCACGCGTCCAGCGAAGGTCTTCTGGACGGAATCAAGGCTCCACAGGTCCAGCCAGTGCCAGCAGCCCAACTGCGAGCCACGTTGCAACCATGGAGCATCAGTTCCCCGCCTACATGATGCCACAAGCAAGTCAGCCTCAGCCCAACGACATGTTCGTTTTTGCCACCACAAACCTGCCCCAGGCGCCACTGCATCTGAACGGATATGATGACTTCATCAACTTCTCCTATCCCCCGCCGCCACCCAATCCTGACACCATGGACGGGGGCTCATCCGGTGCAATGTTCTCTCCTATGTCACGGATGAATATGCATGGCAGTAATCCCCAGATCTTGTCACAAGGACTCGGCGGTGCAGATATCTACAAGCAACAGCAGCACCAGCAACAACATCAACAACATCACCCACACGAACACCAATATCAACACCATGACCGGCCGCGAGAAATATCACTTGGGCCTCATCAGCCACCAACACCACCACTCACAACACCCCCAAGCGCCCAAAGTCTTCCATCCAGCTCCCCAGCGATACCCAGCCGGACAAGTCCGGATCGATTTGCCCGGGAAGCACTCACGGAAAAGCCGGGCAACTCCGACGATGTGCTTGCCGACATGGTCCATCTGCTCGCACAGCCGGATGCCTGGAACGCAATCCCTAATGTCATTGGTGACGCTACTCTGGCGCTATCACACGATGCACGGGATCGTATCGTCGCAACTGTACAGTTGTTGCTCCATCGTGCTTTACAGTCGCGTAGTCCACCTTCACAGTGTAGCCAGGGCCTATTCGGACGCATTGTAGCACTGCCACCTTCCCATGTGCTGGTACACTTCATCGACATGTATGCAGCACGCATCGACTCTGTTCAACCCTACCTTGGGCTCGCTGGCTGCTCGACCACCAATATTCACGATATTCTATCAGTGGACATGGCTGATATTGGCATGCTTTTGATCATCCTTCTAATTACCCAAGGAGCCATGCTCACTGATCAGCACGAATCGCATGTACTTGCACATGGCTTGATCGAAGTGTGCAGAATTGCGCTAGATGACCTCCTCGAAAGCCAAAGCATAGCTCAGCCAATGGTCGGAGGAAGTGCTCTGCAGCTGCTGACGCTGTGTACACGCAGTGGTAAAGACTGCTTGACCTCGGTATGCCAGGTCCTGTACACCGGCCTTATCATCCGGCTAATATGATTATCTAGTATGCTCTGTCAAAACGAGGACAGTATCTAAGTGTAATTACCCCCTCTCGTTTATTTGCGGAACCACAACGCTAACCTGCGCAGATGCTCAAAAACACCGGCCTCCTGCAGCCGGAGCAGTCACCTCTCCATTATAACCCTGATGGCCTCGATCTTTGGGAGCGTTGGAAGGAGCAAGAGCAACGCAATCGGTGAGCCTTATCTTACACTCAGCCTCGACGTCCTAACTAAACCTTGCAGACATGCGTATGCGTGGGTATACGTAGACCTCGAATTAAGCCTGCTCCACGATCTGCCGCCGATACTCTCAATCAATGACTTACAAGTCCCATTGCCACACGAGAATCATCTTTGGAACGCCCCGTCATACAACAACTGGTTTGAAGCTAGCGGTACCCAAGGCACTCACGAAACACCTTCACTCAACGCTTTCTTCCGCAGCTTTCTCCAGGGCCGATTAGCAGGCAGCGAGGACCTACCCGTGCACCATCTACGCCTCCTTCTCCACCCGTTACAAGCCATGGTTTTAGAGCAACAGCAGCTCCTGCGCATCTTCGATACAGACGAGCCGTCCAACAGATACCGCGTTCTTTCCAAGATAAAAATTCTAGGCCGTTTGCAAGAGACGCAAGATATGCTGCAAGACCTGGCCACGCTTCTCAACCGCCATTCCATGGCGACGCCAACATCCGAAAGGGGTGGTACCGGCGACTGGCTCCAATCAGCAAAGTGGGTAAGCATGATTATGCTCCATTTGGTTAGCCTCAACGTTTTTACCAGCATCCCCGAAATCGAAAAGTGCGCTAGGGAAGAGCCTCCCGCATCTGACGCGGCGCGCGCGGAGATGTGGCGCCGGGCACGCTATCCCGAAGGGGAGAGTTATGTTCTCTTCCATGCAGGTCAGATTTTCAGACTGATTGACAGCTTGCCCTTGGAGGCCAGGCCCACTTGGTGGCCGGTTGCCTTTTATCGCGCGTCTATGGCGTGTTGGGCTCTTAGGTCCCTAGATAGGCAGTCGCCGGGCCTTCAACAGATAGAGGTCAACATTGATGCAATATTGCCCAGCGAGGAGGAACGCTCTCACAACACTACCCTCGGCATACCTGTTGTTACCCTACCCGATGGAAGACGGCTGGCCGTCCTCGAGGGCAGCAACAGCTTGAGATATTGCATCAGCAAGCTTGAGAGCTATCCGTCTCATCTAGTTCGCGGCATTATCGACAAGGTTAGGTTTTTTTCAGATAGATGGAGTTATTAATGTTGCACGCTAGCAGGGCTATCCCTACACTCTCTCATTCCTCACATATATATAGCTTCCCTCGTTCATAGCTATACAATCAACTCAGTCCTTCATCTCTTCTTCCATATCACATACGTGAGAGTTATGAGCCCGGATTTGCCTACTGCAATCTTTTAACCACTGAAGTTCACTCAACTGCCATCTCTTTGGCATCTATCTCCCGACAACCTATCCCAACTTTGCGATACTCTGCTATCTAGAATGGCATCAGTTGAAACCCAGAGGTCTACTAAGACCGTTGTCATCCTGACAAAACCAGAGGACTGGTCCCTTTGGCTCTTTCAACACAAGGATAAGGCAGTGTCACATGGAGTATGGGAGTACTGTAATCCAGCAGTCTCTACACCACCCACTCTTACGCCAAAACCTGAACGCCCTATACTCCCAGATGGAGACCTTACGGCCGAAGTTCTTCAAGTACAGCGAATGAAGCTCAGCGAGTGGGAATGGAAGTACAAGGAGTGGCACCAGAAAGACAAAGCTCTCAAGGAGATCTGCACTGACGTGGCATCAACAATCTCCACTTCTTTGATTCCTCTCATCCAGAATGACGCAACTGCACACGCACGACTAGCCAAGCTCAGAGCCCACATAGCCCCATCCGACCCTACCCGAAGAAGAGAGCTTAGGGTGAAATACGACGCTCTACGATCACCTAAACCGCGCAACACAAGCGTGGACAAATGGCTAGACGAATGGATACGCGTCACTGACCTCATGGCTATGCTTGACATGCCTGAGATGAAAGGAGGACAAGTTCAAGAAGAATTCCTTGTCACAGCCAACAAGCTACATGAGACCTGGGCTACAGCTGAGCTCCGCAAGCTTTTGGATCTACAGGAAAACCCAGCGGTAAAAGACTTAGATCTACCGACAATCAATACCCTAGTTGCTAGCTTCCGTCAATTTCTCCGCATTATAAAACCCCAAGGATCGACCTTTGGAACATTCGGCGCCTCTCTCGGCATCGCTGACAGCAGCGGGTCTACCAAGGCCAATACTACCGAAGAAGGACCTAGCCAGAATCAGAAACCTCAAGCGAAGCATAATCATCCACCAGGCAAATGCATCTGTTTAGAAGAACATTGGTATTCAAACTGTCCCTACATCAATCCTGCAGTTCGCCGAGCAGGATGGACACTAGACCCAGAGATTGAAGCCAAGTTTAAAAAGGCTAAGAAGAATCCAAGAATTGCCAAGCAGCTTCAGAGAGCTGCGGAAAGGCAAAACGCGAAGGCTACATCCGAACCAACCACAACGCCTATTGCCTTTGATGCCCAAGCCCATGGCGATCATCAACCCCACAGCATGGCTTGTTCTTTTCAGGCCTTCTCTACCAATCATGTATCCAACCCACCTTACATCAACCGATGGATCATGGATCCTGGATCAAATGTTCACGTCATCAACTCCAAATCATGGAGATGGACCCACACTCGGTACAGTACAGCTGACGAAGCTTTGTACGCTGGCTCACAGTCAGTCTCTATCAGCGAATGGGGAAATGTTATCATTCCAGTCAGGACACCAAATGGTATACAGGACATCCAGCTTACCCACGTTGCCCTAGTGGAGGGTTTCTTTGCCAACATCCTCAGCCTCTCACGCTGCAAGGACATGAAGATTCACTTTGATTCTGGAAAGAATCACCTATACCAAGCGACTCCAAACAACGTTGTTACTCTCCTAGACTACCACGCAGGTCACTGGCTCATAGACGCGGATGATGGGAAACGTCCAAACGCCAACTCACTGCAATCCATGGCTGCATTTAGGCCATCACATGATCCAAAGCCTCATCTTAAGGCTACTGCTACTGAAGCACATCACATCTGGGCCCACCCAGGGCCAGATACCATCCGCCATCTTGAAGCAGCTGTTCGAGGCTTCAAACTCCAAGGCAGTGATCCTCCACAATCCTGGAAGGAATGCGAAGACTGCATTCTTACAAAGATGAACAAACAGATCTCACGGCGTACACCAGACACGGTCTCTACTCGGCCATTCGAACGCATCGCTATTGACCTGGTATACCTAGTCCCTCAAGGAGAAGAATGCTACAACGGCGACAAATACGCTCTACACGCTGTCTGCCAATTCTCTAAGTGGCATGAGATCTCTTGCCTTCCAAATCGACTTAAAACCACTCTTATTCCCGCTGTCTTCAATCTCATTGAGAAGATCCAGCGACAGCTTGGCTACAAGTACGTTGTCATCATCATTAGATCTGACAACGAGAAAGGACTTGGTCGCGACTTTGCTGCAGCGTGCAAGAGCATTGGAATCAAGATTGAAACAACGGCTGAGAACACTGATGAGCAAAAAGGTCTCCAAGAGGCAGCAGGCAGGACTATTATGCAGCGCACTCGCGCTCTGCGCATTTCATCAGGACTGCCAAAAGACCTCACTAATGAGCTCGCTGTCGCAGCAGTACAGCTGCTCAACACTACACCAGTCCATTCACTTGGATGGAAGACACCTCATGAAGTTGTTTTCAATACAAAGCCCTCGGTAGCTCACTACTCACCTATTGGGTGCAGAGCCTATGTCTATCGCAGAGACATCAAAGCTGCTGACAAGACTGAGCCACGAGCTCACATCGGATACCTCGTTGGATACGACTCATCAAACATCTACAGAGTCTGGATACCGACACTCGACCGCGTAATTAGGACTAGAGACGTTATCTTTAAGTGGCAATTCTCTTATAAGGACGATAAACTCAACAACATCACTACAAACAAGATCACTGAACAAGAGGTAGAGACTCTAGATCTCGAACAACCTCATTTCACTGCTACTGCTAAAGATCTCTACACCACTGAGCAACTGGACCAGCATCTTGAAGAAATAGAGATTTCCGCCGCATATTCGGACAGAAGCCCAATGGACTTAACTAAAGGAACCATGAGTCCTTCACGCTCACCATCACCAACCAACTCAACAATAGCTGTCCTACAGCGCCCAACTCCATCAATGGAATCTCGCCATGCATACGACATACCTGGCTATCTCCCAGATCGGCACAACAACAATGCACCACAAGCTTTGCATCCAGACATTGGAGATCACAATGTAATTACTGGAAGCAGACGCAGCCGCGCTAAGAAGGGACAAGACAGAGTTTCATCAAACTTCTTTACCTACTATGGAACCTTTGCAACTTCCCTTCACCCAACACTCTATGAGAAGATTACAGCCATTACTCCAAAGACTAGGCTTCATCGAGATCAGATGCCTGAACCACCTAAGCGGTTCAAAGACGTCGTTTCTCATCCCCAGGCCGATTTGTACTGGAACGCCATGAAAAAGGAGATAGACGACTGTTGGAAGAAAGGTTGCTTCGAGAACACCAAAGTAACTCCATTCACTGCTGATGCAGAGACTCTGCCCCTCATGTGGGTATACACTAACAAGTTTGACGAAGATGGCTACTTCTTGAAAGCTAAAGCGCGACTTGTGGTCAGAGGTGATCTCCAAACACAATGGGGTGACACCTACGCTGCTACACTAGCAGCTAAAACCTTTCGAGCTCTCATCGCAATGTCAACTAAGTTTGGACTACTTATGTTCCAATACGATGCCATGAACGCATTTCTCAATGCTCGGGTACCTAGGAAACTGTACTGCAACACACCTGAAGGCTTCACAACTCAATTTGGAGCTCTGCTTCTCCTCCGCCGAGCCTTATATGGCCTAAAGGAAGCACCTCTACTATGGTACCAGGACCTGGCCAACACACTCCAAGATCTTGGCCTCAAACAAATCCCAAATACGCCATGTCTCTTTGCCAACAACAGTCTTATTGTCTTCTTCTATGTTGATGATATAGTTGTCCTAGTACATCCATCGAAGCTGGACATCCACAAGGAATTCCAGGACAAGCTCTTCAAGAAGTATGAGCTTAGATCGATGGGTCAACTCAACTGGTTCCTCGGTATACGCGTAGTTCGCGATATCTCTCAACAATCAACTTGGCTGATTCAAGACGCCTTTATTGATAAGGTAGCACATAAGTACAACTTGATGGAAGGAGCAACTACCTTACCTGATTTTCCAATGGCTGAAACCAACCTTGAGCCAAACACTGTGGTAGACAAAGCACTAAAGAAAAGATACCAGCAATTAGTTGGCTCCTTAGCCTACATCTCAGTGTTCACAAGACCTGATATCTCACTCACCCACTCAATTCTCTCCCGGTATCTCAACAATCCTGGAGAACAACACCTACGCGCTGCAATTCATGCCTGGCGCTTCTTGGTCAAGACACGCAATTTCGCCTTAAAAGCCTCAGCACTCACTCCTGACAACACTGGTTACTCAATCCCCGGGACTGCTTTTAACCCTGAGCCTATCTTCTTTGGAGCTGCAGACGCTTCATTTGCAGACGATCTGTCTACTAGACGTAGCTCAGATGGCTATCTATTCAAGCTCTTTGGAATGCCAATTGACTGGAAAGCTACGAAACAACGGTCTGTTACAAAGTCAACTACAGAAGCCGAACTCTACGCTCTCAGCCGTGCTGCGTCAGAGTTCATTTGGTGGAACAATCTCTTTGATCAGCTTAATTTCAAAACAGACATCACCCCAGTCATCTATTGTGATAACAAGCAGACAGTGGGAATTGTGACAAAGGCCACAGAAAGACTTCAAACCAAGCTCAAACACGTCGATATTCACCAACTCTGGCTACGTCAAGCAGTTGAGAGAGGAGAGGTGAATGTACAATGGATTTCTACTGCCCAAATGCCTGCAGACGGTCTTACAAAGGCACTGCCAAAGCAAAAGCACGTTAACTTCACACGTCAACTAGGACTTGAGGATATCACTAAACGTCTCCTCAGTCTTCACAACAACTAAAACTCCTGAACTACCCAGCAATACAGCGGGCTGGTTCTAATACATGGACTTTATTCACTCCTTTTCACCTTTAAACTGGAGACAGCTACCTTAGTCTCTACACTACAGCCTTACGCTTCACTACAGTCTGGGGGGGTGTGTTGCACGCTAGCAGGGCTATCCCTACACTCTCTCATTCCTCACATATATATAGCTTCCCTCGTTCATAGCTATACAATCAACTCAGTCCTTCATCTCTTCTTCCATATCACATACGTGAGACCTTCCGCTTGTTCTTTGACCCTGGAGGGCGGCCTCTTCTACGTGGTTGCGCTGCCGGAGGTACTGCTATCGGCTCGTGCGGCTCATTCGGCTCATTCGGCGCGTGTGGCGCATCAGGGTCGCTCCACAGGTGGTCTGGTCTGTAGTATGGCTTAACGACAGTTGATCTGAATGTCGCTGGACCATTAACCATGTCGACAGTGATGTTGTGGCCATCTGTACTGGCGATCTTGTACGGGCCATTCCAGCCATCACTCTCTCTCCATACTAAGACTTCGCTCTGGAGTGGGAGCGCGAGCATGTCTGCAGTG